GTCCCCCGCTGTTTATCTCTCCTGCGCGTTCGAGTCTCTCCATCTGGATTTACATAGATCCCCGGGTCGGACGAAAGATTACACATCCGGATACACCGGCCGGACCTTGCCGGCCACTCTCTCTGCCTGGCGAGGGCGAGTCGAAAATTCATGCGCACTTCCTAATATAGCTTTCGATGTACGTATGTACGTGCCCAGGCAGGATACAGAGAATTAGGGATATGAATTGCGGGGAACCGGTCGGGCGATTACTTTTGGACACGTTTAACCCGGTCCGTAGGAAAAGTCGATGAAACGAATCTCGGCGGAAAGAGTAAAACGTCATGGAATATCGAATATGCGCGCTCTGTAATTAGAGATAAAATCAATAAGGAAGCTTAAAATTGATTTCATTCTCATATTTCTCGTAAATTTTAACTGCCGCGTCCGACATTCACGTCCGCTTAAATACCGCTTTTCTGTGCTCTCCCTTCGCTTTAGCCGCGAGTAAATTTTAAATGCGCGATTTAATTGGAAAAACGAAAAGGAAACTGCACTTTTATCTCTCCTCGATACGCGCGTATCGAGAAATATCGCACTCGTAGGCTTCCTCCTCTCTCGCGAGGGGAAACTTTTCCGCCAACAAGCCTTTTAATACGAGACTGCTTAGGATACACAGGAGAGAGCCTCGCGAGTACGGAAGGAAGCACATCGTGCGCGTTTCCTTGCGTGTACGTGTAAAGTGGAATATAGCCGTCGTAAAGGGGAGATTTAAGTTCAATTAAAAGTGTATTACGGCTGCGTACCTTAAGCAGTCTCGTCGACCGGCGATGGATTTTCTGCCGGTCTCCTTGCAGAATAATTAGTCCTGCTTCGATTACCACGATACCATCGATCCATAACATCTTTGCGTGCTGATCTTTATTTTCCATTTACTCGGTTTACCAGAAATCAGATTAGATGGCTATTTAAGGGTACGGGGGAGTGCGCTCATTATTTTTCATTTTAGTTCTTCGTGAACCGGGCAATATTAACGCGTGATTTATAACTTCAATTTAATCTTTACCGGCGCACTTGAAAGATTACTTCGCGAAAACCGTCGCTTTGACCGTAAGTTGGTTCACCAGAATAATGTCGCGAATTTCTTCGAGTCCGAGTGCATTGCGCAAACATGCACAAGAACGAACAAAACCTGTCTGAATTTTTAAACGAAATACGAGTCGAAATTTTAGTCCTAGTTTAGTTCTACTTTACGTGTTCGAAACTCTTTTACTCATTTGATGGGAACTTATAAATGGGAACTTATTTCTGTTTTCTCCACTTGAAGCCTTAAGGTAGAATTTAAAATTTTGACTCGGGAATATATTATTTTTGACTAAAGCTTAAATTAGAATTCTTTCCACGGTTAAGGAACTAGAACTCGTGCGACCTCGTGATTAGATCTGAGCAATGCCATTGTAATCGATTTTAAACACACACAGACGCGCGAGTGCAATGCATATTATAGCGCAGCGTCTATTCGCGACGAAACTTGAGTAAACATTTAACTTTTATTTGAGTGCAAATTATAAATTTAAAATAAAATAGAGAAAATAGAGTTATAACGAAGAATATTTCAATCGAATTTTAATAAAAAATTGGATTCTGACCTGCTCGAAGAATGCATAAATGTTGAATGCAACAACCAAACGAAAGTTCAAATTGAGAAGATATCAACCTGTAATAATAACTTCCTTTCCCAATGATACAAATATTTTTAATTGCTAACGCCGTCAATTATTTCTGTCGAAATGGGATTGTCCACGTTTATATCTCTTCAGAAAATAAATTTATGAATGAATCATCCGAGTATGTTCAAACTGCGTTAAGTATAACAGATCAGAATGTACGGGAAGAAACACAAGTTTCTTCCTGTGTTCATTTAAAAAATAGACGTGTCCTAATCAAGTTAAAAACTTGTTTACACGCTTCCATTAGTGTAGGCGAGAAATTTGATTATCTAAAGGTAAATAGCGCGCCTGTGTGCATTAAATACCCGTTGCCGCTTTCATGCGGCCCTTTTGAATACGGAGATCTTAAAGATATATATATATATATATAGTGAAACCAGCCCCTTGTGGAGTTTTAAAATCCTGGTCCAGCAACTTCTTTCACGGCGTAAGTCATGAAAATATTGCTGATATTAATGAATATATAATAGCTTTCTTTACATGCGGATGTATAAATCTTCTTTTGTAAAGGAGAAAGGAAGCGCAAATATCGTGTCTCATATATCGCGGAACTTCGCATGTAAATATTATAAAGTATATATACACAAATGTACATCATATTCGAATTTATCTTTCATAGAGCTTAAAATATAGGGTTTACTTTTGAAGATAAATAGTCTCGTTAATTTAAGGTCTATTTATTTTAAACAAAACGGTATAACCTATAATAATTGAGCAATAAATTTATAATGATAAAGATTGAAGCCGGAAAGGGAGAAAGCTTTTCAGAGTATATTTAAATATATTTCATCTCTGTGTCCCTTGAAAAGCTTCTCTTTAGTTATAAATTTTATAATTAAATATTTATCGGCACCGGTTTTGCTATATTTTGCTTGAAAAAAAATATCGACCTGAAATTGATACTTAATACTTTGTAATTAAACTCCACTCCTCTCTCTCCCTCTCTCTCTCTCTTAAACTCGATTATCCCGAATCCGTACGTTAAAAAGCAGGCCATCAAAAAGATATCGTACATCAGTTAAGTTTCGTTATACCGTGTGTCTCGAGTGCGACGATAACCGCATTGCGATTATCAGGTGCGCGATTCATTTCCACGGGAAATTATCAAATTCATTTAGCACGGTAGCAATTCGGTACTGTCTAAGCTATCAGACGGCTAAGATTAAAAGCTCTCTCATTACCGCCGCACGGCTATATTCCTAAAATGTGTAGCAGTGACTGACGACGCTTAGATGTACTCATTGCACTGGACGTGTGCAACGTACCTGGCTTTGTAAACGACCAGCGGGGCTTGTCGCGGCTCATGAATCGCGCGATAGTCGATGAATCTCGCTTGTCTTGCGCCCGGCGACAGGTTTATATCGGAGCATTCGGCTGATATTCATCAGGATGGTATCACGGCGGTATTTTAAGAATAAGCGCACGAGCGGCGGTATAATTGCTACAGAGCTCGTTAAATCGATGAAGAAGCGTACGGCTGTAACACCGCAGTTGGTCGGCGGTCGGGGGCTGCGGTTAAATTCGAGGGTAGGAATTTAAAGCGCGGATGCGCATTTGGAAACACGTCTTATCGTACTTCCGATAGCACAGCCGGGTGAAACCTTAAGTACGAACGCTTCGTATGCAGACTGCAATAATGTAGCTATCTTTTAGTATATTGTCTACTATAACCACCTTATTTGAGGGTTACCCGGGATTACCGTATTCAAGTGGAGTATCTCGAAATTCCGAATTCCGAGAGGGTAGATCCACTCCGGGCCGAGGAAAGTAGTCGGCGCTCCACGTTTGAGAACTGCTCTCCGGGAATTTAAGTTTGCACATAACGGCGGGGGCATCTAAAATTACGAAACAACAGGACGGAGGAGGGTGTGCAGACGCGAGCTGCTGATAATTCGGCATCGACGTCAGATTCGCGTGTGTATTTTCGGAGAGAAATCGGATTCGGCGAAGCGTGGAACCGTCGCGCAAAATTAGATAGAAGGATATGATATGGGGCGACATCGATTCCGCCGGCTGGGAAATACTTGAGTACATATTAAATTCCGGACTGTAGTGGCGCGATGATGCACGTACCGTACTATGAACTGTTGCTAACTTACTTCGTATCATCACGCGTAGTTCCGTAAGTATACTATCTCGTCTTGAAAATTTTCTTTGAAGTAGTAATTGGCTTGCTTGTTAATGGCCTCTTAGAAGTTTCTAAGCTTGACGAGCGGACCGTCTATAAAGGTGAGCTTAATGAAAGGAATTTTGTTACATATTGTACAAACAATCTTGTCACTCTCGCAGCAACGTTTACTTAGTATCATAATAAATTTCACCGCAAAGCATCTCTGCCAAGCACCGACAACTAGACACGGCGAAAAATATCATTGGAACGCCGAGACAATGTCCCTCTCTTGAAAATTTGACACGGCGAATCGGTGTGAATAGTGAATTCTGATTTCTTTTTCTCGACGTTTCGCAGGTAATAGGGGTCTTAGCAAAATAAGACGTATACGGTTACTCGGCAAACGCTCGGGACGCTCTATCTCTCTCTTCAAGGAGCGCGCGCGCCTCTGCAGCTTTGATCGTTCTCATTTCATCGCCGTCGGAGTGAGTGTTTTTGTTTCGTAAGTCGAAATTTTCCGCTCTTGCTCGGCAATACGCCCGCTCGCCGCCCGTTCGATGTGAAGCAATTTTTCCTTTACAAATCGATCCGCGCGATGCAGCATCCACCTGCTCGTGTGTCGCGAGACATGCACGCGGAGCACGTCGACATGTTCATGCGCAAAAACATCACGCAAATGATTAGAGCATTACTACGAGCGCTATTATCGCCGCTGAAATTGCTCGCTATGAAAAGTTGAAAGGAATTTACTTGTTCGCTCGCGCGTCTCGAATCTCCCCGGGTATTACATCATCGCGTCGAGACGCGATCGCTTAAGTCCCTCGAGCTGACTTACGATAGGAATTACCTCCCCTGTAACGTCGCGCTCTAAATTTTATCGGAGCGTATGTACGGTGGTTGCGAATCACGTTTTTTTTTTCCTTTTCTTTCGCAAATCAGCTCCCCCCTTCCACTAAGAACATTGTGCTTAGTCCTCGCTTGACCCGCTTACGTTAACTCGCGCCATCCACTGCCGAGTTCCTCCCGAGTACTTTGCAAACTTCGGCGCTCACGTAGGTGGGCTATAAGTATAAGTACTAGTAAGTAAGTAAGTAAGTATGCATGCATGTACACCGCGTCGGTTACGTAGTAGCATTCGCGCGATAGCGCGATATTTAAGTCGAGGACGTTCTGTGTTACAGATTTACCCAGGTTCGGCAAACCGTTGAACAACCTTACAGTCTCAGTGGGTCGCGAAGCCGTTTTCACCTGCATCGTCGAGGACCTCGGACCATACAAGGTGAGACGCGCATTATGACCGTGACAATCCTATTTCCACACGCGGCTGCAGCTACACGTTGCGCCCCGCTGCCGCTGCAATTGCACGCCGCGTTGCGCGCGCTGATGTCTCCCCGTACGATCGAGACCGGTCTTGATAAGCGATATTACACCGTGCAAATATTCGTCAGACGCGCGAGGCGAACTGTGAAACGATATCGCCTGTCGAATTCTCGGACGGCGCTTTTCCTCTCGTGATTCTCGCCGACGAGAACGAAGTAACGAGAACGGGTGAGGTAACGAAGTTGTCGCGTATCGAAAATAAAGAATCGAGCGATCTCGATGGATAAATAATGGATCGTTTTATGAGGAACAATCCGAAGAGGAGATTCGGCCGAGAGGAATAGAGGAGACCGGGGCCGGAAGTCTCACTTTTTACGTTCGAATTAAAATAAGTAAAAAAATGTGGATATTTCATAATCTAGTCACTGCGATTTGCGAATGATCAAATCGGCGTTAAGCCGTTTTGAGCGGCGCGACGCGCAATTACCGAGGCCCACGTCGGCTAAGTTCTACGACGGTTGACGGTGGAAAAGTTAATGAACGGTACAAATAAATTCAAAGCAAGGGATTCGACTAGGATCACAGTGTGCGTATCTAAGCAACTCCGTTTAAGTAGAAATAAAATCCCGCGGGGTGTGAGTTCAGCAGTTTGTTAAGCGGCTCGGAGTCCTCTCTCGCGCTGTCTTCTTCCGCCCGATCGTTTCCCCGTCGCCCGTCTATCTCGCTTCCCTCGTTTTCTCCTTATTTCCCGTTCTCCTCTCGGCGTCCCCGGCTGCTCCTCCTGGAGAAATACCCTTTTCGATTCTCCAGCCCTCTTACCGGCAGCCTTGCGCCGCGCTCAAACCGCGCGTATAGGAGTTATAGTTTTATAGATAGCGCTCCTCCGCTCTCTCCCTCGCGCTTCCCCCCCCCCCCCC